GTCCTTCTAGACCCGTTGAGTGGACTACAGTTTAAAAACAAACACATGAACACATTCCTATGCACACTGTACATATCTTATTTGAAGTAAAAAAACAAACAGGCAACAACACTACATGTGGCCCGCAGGCCGTAGTTTGAGGACCCCTGCCTCTAATTCTCTCAGATGATTATTTGTATGATCCATTTTGTTAGTATCTTATTTATCCATTCATCCTATATCATAAATATTAAGAAGTAAATGTGGCTTATGTGATTTTTTTCCTGTTCTAATATCTATATACTGTGTATTTCTTTTGCGACAGGCACATGCCTGTAGTCCCAGCTACTCGGGAGGCTGAGGCAGGAGGATTTCCTGAGCCCAGGAGTCTGAGGTTGCTGTGAGCTAGGCTGATGTCACGGCACTCACTCTAGCCTGGGCAACAAAATAAGACTGTCTCAAAAAAAAAAAAAAGAAGTAACAATCATAATTATCGCCTAAAAAAAGAAAAAGAAAATTCTTTGCGGGATTCAGCAGAAATCTCTCTCCCAGTGATTTCCCGCCTCTGGCTCTCACAGAAAAGCAATGCCATGTTTCCCCCAAAATAAGACTTACCCATAAAACAAGCCCTAGCAGGATTTCTAAGCATTTGCGCAATATAAGCCCTACCCCGAAAATAAGCCCTAGTGATGGGCGTGGCTATGCAGTGCATCTGCACAACCCGTGCATTTCGTGGTGGAAGCACTAAAGAAGAGGAGCAGCCCTTCTCATCTGCCCCACGAGATGTCTGTTGCTCGACATGAGAGATTCCGGCTAATGGTTCTAAAGGAAATAGAGTCGCAAGACATTCAGGATGGAATTTGGGGTTTCGAGAGTTAGGATGATGTTCCAGAAGACGACGACTTCACTCTATTTGAATAAATGTAGGTGGTTGTACCGTACTTAAAAAAAATAACACATCCCCTGAAAATAAGCTCTAGGGTGTCTTCTTGAGGAAAAATAAACATAAGACCCTGTCTTATTTTCGGGGAAACACGGTACTCAGCCCCCAGCTGTGCCTGACATGCTACAGTGTGAAGAATATTCTGTCCCTAACAGCTGGCAAGTGGTGGGATCTGCACCCAGCTCCGCTGACTCTGGGAGTGAGAGAGACTTCTCCCGTTCACCATATCATCTGACCAGTCCTGCTGTTTTCCTTGTTGGAGCCTCTTCAGAATTGTGAAGGCAACTCTTATTTCTCTGCAGTCTTCTTCCTCCAGGCCAAAGAACCCCAGTTTTTCAGCCTTTCCTCGTAGGCCAGGATTCTTGGTTCTCACCACTATGGCACTTCTGTTTGCTTCTTACCAGCTCAACAATCCCCCACCCCCGCCTTAGAATGTGACTCTTGGAAATGAACCCAGTTAGAGTTGGGAACAAAGATGAATTTTCACCTCCCCTTTCCTAGATTTTACTCCTCTATTAATAGGACCTCACACTGAATTATCTTTTCTGGCTGCCACATTGCTTTGCTACCCAATGGATTTACAACTAGGTCTTCCCATCTCTTTGTGTGCAGTTGGTTTCTTGACCCTCAATGTAGGATTCTATTAATACATTTGTTGTTTATTTTGTCTTGTTAGATACAGTTGTTGTTGGGTTTTTTTTTCTTGTTTTTGAGACAGAGTCTCAATTTGTTGCCCAGGCTACAGTGAGTGCTGTGGCATCAGCCTAGCTCACAGCAACCTCAAACTCCTGGGCTCAAGCGATCCTCCTGCCTCAGCCTCCTGAGTAGCTGGGACTACAGGCATGCGCCACCATGCCCCGCTAATTTTTTTTATATATATATATATATTAGGTGGCCAATTAATTTCTATTTATAGTAGAGATGGGGTCTCACTCTTGCTCAGGCTGGTTTCGAACTCCTGACCTTGATCAATCTGCCCGCCTCGGCCTCCCAGAGTGTTGTTGTTGGTTTTTTTATTTTTATTTTTTTAGAGATGATCTCGCTCTGTTGCCCAGACTGGAGTGCTGCAGTGCTGAAGTGCAGTGGCATAATCATAGCCCACTGCAACCTTGAAACCCTGGGCTCAGGCCACCCTCCTACCTCAGCCTCCCCTAGTTGTTTTAATCTCGTGAGAAGTTATCTGGATCCTATGGTATGCATAATAGATAATTGGTATTTTGAGGGACTGTCCAATGTACAATCCCCTTCCTGACAGCATCCTAATTTCCTTTGGGGGACCTACCTTTTTCCCCCTGTGGGCAGTTTTGGTCGGAGGCAGTCCTAGGGGCCCACGACCGAAGCTGAGGGGCCCAGATCCCTCCTCTCACTGTCCCTTGTGAACTCCCTGGAGAGCCTCCTTTGGAGACGTTCAGATTTCTGCAGCAGGCTCAGAGCTGGCCTTGTTCCCTTCCTCTCTTTCTCCTGAGGAAGGCCGGCGAGTGCGTGCCTGACCCCGCTCCACACAGGACCATCTGGCTGCCTGCTGGATGTCCGCTCTGGAGCCAGGAGCTCCCCTCCCATCGTGTTTCTGCACCACCGACTGGCAGGGGTTCTGAGATGCCAGACAAAGCAAGACCGGTTAGGGTCCCTCTGGCCAGGGGCCAAGATGCAGACTGATCCTGCGGAAACAGAAGACTGGCTGGGGTGGAGGTGGGTGTCAGTGGGGAACAAGAGGCACCAGCTGTAGTTGGGGAGTGTCTCGGCCCCAGAAGGAGCTCTCAGTGCCATCCTGGATACTATGGGATGGCGGGTTAGATGAGGGGGGATGTTCCATGTATACAAGGGTGGTCGACGTCTCCTGTTTACCAAGCACTTAGTCTGTCAAGAGCTATGCTACACATCGTACGTGCGTTATTCTTTCCAAATCCTCACATATTATGTTCATTTTACAGCTGGCCAGCTGAAGCTCAGTGAGGTTAAATAATTTGTTAAAGGTCACACAGCAACCAAGAGGCCAAGCATGTTACTTCCTACATCATGATCATCAAGGGGACATTTATGGTGTTCTTTTTTTTTTCTGAGACAGAGTCTCGCTTTGTTGCCCAGGCTAGAATGAGCACCGTGGCATCAGCCTCGCTCACAGCAACCTCAAACTCCTGGGCTCAAGCAATCCTTCTGCCTCAGCCTCCCGAGTAGCTGGGACTACAGGCATGCGCCACCATGCCTGGCTAATTTTTTCTATATATATTAGTTGGCCAATTAATTTCTTTCTATTTATAATAGAGACAGGGGTCTCGCTCTTGCTCAGGCTGGTTTTGAACTCCTGACCTTGAGCAATCCGCCCACCTCAGCCTCCCAGAGTGCTAGGATGACAGGTGTGAGTCACCAAACCCAGCCCATTTATGGTGTTCTAAATAGTTTCAGGTGATAAATCCAGGTGGCTGGAAAGGTAAAGTGCTCCTTTATAGCCTGGCCCAAAGTGAGCTCCAAGAAACACACACACAAGCATTGCCTCCTGAACCTGTGTGCTGGTTCTGGGAAGAGCCTACTAAAACAGACTTGCCTTTTCCCTGTGATCTGCTAGTGCCAAGGACATGCGTGTGCATTTACCACTACTGGGACAGGTCAGAAAGTCTCACACACACACACTGACCACCCAGTTTTGCTATATAGGAAGAAAACAAACCTTGTACGGATGAAGAGACAGACTCAAATGCTCTGGTGCATAGGAATGAGGGTGATATCACTCAGTAACCAATTACTAGTTGCATTCCTGCCCAATCTGGACTTCCTGCAGTCCATAAACTATACTACCCACCTCTTAGAATGCAATGCATTGTGGACATTTTAATCTGTGGACCTTTGCTGATTCTGTTCCCTCTCGTTTTGTTTTGTTTGTTTGTTTGTTTTGAGACAGAGTCTCACTCTGTTGCCCTGGGCTAGAGTGCCCAGGCATCAGCCTAGCTCACAGCAACCTCAAACTCCTGGGCTTGGCTAGGCGCAGTGGCTCACGCCTGTAATCCTAGCACTCTGGGAGGCCGAGAAGGGAGGATTGCTCGAGGTCAGGAGTTCAAAAACAGCTCTGACCAAGAGCGGGACCCTGTCTCTACTATAAATAGAAAGAAATTAATTGGCCAATTAAAAATATATAGAAAAAATTAGCCGGGCATGGAGGCACATGCCTGTAGTCCCAGCTACTCGGGAGGCTGAGGCAGGAGGATCGCTTGAGCCCAGGAGTTTTGTTTGTTTGTTTTGTTTTTGAGACAGAGTCTCAATTTGTTGCCCAGGCTAGAGTGAGTGCCGTGGCGTCAGCCTAGCTCACAGCAACCTCAAACTCCTGGGCTCAAACAATCCTGCTGCCCCAGCCTCCCGAGTAGCTGGGACTACAGGCATGCGCCACCATGCCCGGGTAATTTTTTCTATATATTTTTAGATGGCCAATTAATTTCTTTCTATTTATAGTAGAGACGGGGTCCCTCTCTTGCTCAGAGCTGTTTTTGAACTCCTGACCTTAAGCGATCTACCCACTTGGGACTCCCAGAGCGCTACGATTACAGGCGTGAGCCACCACGTCCGGCCTGTTCCCTCTCCTTGAAATGTCCTTCTAAAATGAAAAACTCTTTCAAGGCCTGGGTCAAAGTTTAGGTCCCCTGTGAACACTCGTTCCATTAATATTTGGTTTAAGAAGCCATTTTAACTATCTTTAAAGGTCAGGGTTTCTTAACTTGGGTCTGTTGGTCATTATGAATAGGCTTTAGAGGGTGTGTCTATGCACCTGGGTTACCTGGGAAATCCGTGTCTGCACCCATGTACGTTACTCTGGAGGGGAGGGTCAGAGCTTATTTTCAAAGAGACCTGTGACCCCAACAGAAAAAAAGAGCTCTTCCTGTTATGAGTTTTTTGAAGGCGAGTGTTATATCTCTTTCATCTTAGTCTCCCCGGTACTGGTCCAAGACAGACATTCCTAACTACTGGCAGACGGCTGGTGGTGACCCACAAGGCAACACTTCCACAGGCAAAGAAGAGAAAACAGGATGGTTTAATTTGTAAAGTCAAGAGTCATTTGTTCTTAATTACAGTGCTCAACATGCAAATTACATCCACGTCTTGGTACAGAAATGGCACTCCGTCACTTCCCTGGGACTATTAATCCAGACAGAACTATTCCTGGGCAGCCTTATCTGCTAAGCAACTGCCCTCTCTCCTTTTTACAGTGATAAGTAAACTCATGTGCCCAGAAAATGGGGCCTTTTGTCCAACTGAGTTACCCTTCACAGTACAGCACCACTGATTTGTCAATGGATTTCATATATTCTGGTGTCCAGATTGAGACCGCACATTATTTAACCCGTCTTTAATGATCTCAAAGGCACTTGAGAATCCTGCAGTGCCTCAGGGTCACTGGTTTTCACTGGATAGTATTAAGAGATGCAAGTGTGCTAAGTCTGTCCTGGCCTGGGATGTTCACTCTGGAAAGAGTGTATGTGAATAAGGTTCGACACGTTTGCTCCTATCTCATTTTTGTAGGCTCAAAATGAACGATACGGGGAGATTCATTTTGCTCATCCATAGTTCCTTACACTTTTGGTAGTGGAAATATTTTACTTTTGTAAAGAAAGTTAAAAATACTAACAGAAAATTAAAGGTAAAACACAGGGTGTATGGATCCCAAGAGAAACAGGAGTTTACTGTGGCTACATGTCAAGCTGACTGCATATAATAATAATTAGTTATTCTAATAACAATCCTTCTTCCAAAGACTGAATTTTTGCTAAGATTTTATATTTTATCAGTAGCTTGAGTTTTCCCCCTTTCTCTGACGTTCATTACTAGAGTAACCAGAAGGAACATTTAAAACATTTTTTAAACTGCAAGCCACCCAGCATACTCCTCCTATTTCCTCTAGTTCCAAACATACGCGGTAACCCAGCTCAGACAAGAACGAGCCTTGCCGCACGCCCGCCAGCTCCTGCACCCTCCTCTTTATTCCGAGAGGCGCCAGCTCCAATGAAAGTTACAAGGTTAAGCGCGACTCCAAGTTCCTGACACAGCTGCTAATCCCTGCTCAGTCTTCAAAAAATAGAGGTCTGTAATTCCTTTTTGAACATGCCTTCAAAGTGGAGGTCTTTGGCCATGAGCTCCTCTTCGACATCATCTAGTGCCCACTGGTGATCCGTCAGCTCCAGAGCTTCCCACTCTGTCTGCAAAGGAAGAGAGCACCAGGGCGGGGGAGGGGTGTGTTACTGGCTCCTGTGGCTGACCTTTACTCATCAGCTACTCTGGGCCAGGGTAAACTACTTACATGCACAAGCTCATGCACTCCTACGATGCTGCTGCCCCCACCTTCCCTGTTCCTTCTCCCTGCTCCTCCTCAATTAGACATAAGGACAATGAGGCTAAGAGAGGCAAAACAATTTGTTCAAGCTCACTTAGCACTAGTAACTAATGGAGCTGAGATTTAAATTTTGGTTCATCTGACTCCAAATCCCTAGTGCTTAACCTGTTTATCAGGTCACCCTCACCAAGCACCTGCTCTGTGCCCCTTGCTACCCTTGATTCGAATATGATAGACAAATCAGTGCTTTGTGATTCTGAGCCCTTTCATCAAGGGACTTGTCATCTGGTTTACGTAGTGCAGGGTCAAAGGTGCTTCGACATAAATGGCAGAGAATATTTCCAATGGGCAGAACATTTCCTCCCACCTACGTCCAAATACATAATGGCATTTCATTATAGTCTGCTGGAGCCCAGTAATTGATAATTTTATCACTGGAAGACTTTGATAGTGTGAAATATAAACCGTTTTGAGACATAATCATTCACAAGTAAGCCATTAATACGTTAAGCAGAAAAAAGTTTGCAGAATTTTCTGAGAAATCACTTTTCTCAGAAAATTCTATTAATCTGACTATTTTTGCGTTAAATTAGTGGGTTCTTGGCTGGGCGCGATAGCTCACACCTGTAATCCTAGCACTCTGGGAGGCGGAAGTGGGCAGATCATTTGAGCTCAGGAGTTCGAGACCAACCTGAGCAAGAGCAAGATCCCGTCTCTACTATAAATAGAAAGAAATTAGCTGGACGACTAAAAATATATAGAGAAAAAATTAGTCAGGCATGGTGGTGTATGCTTGTAGTCTCAGCTACTCAGGAGGCTGAGGCAGGAGGATCGGTTGAGCCCAGGAGTTTGAGGTTGTTGTGAGTTAGGCCAACGCCATGGCACTCTAGCCCGGGCAACAGAGCAAGACTCTGTCTCAAGATAAATAAATAAAAATAAATAAATAAATTATAGTGGGTTCTTAAAAAATGGTTTGTGAGCTCAACATATGCCTATAGTCACAGCTACTCAGGAGGCTGAGGCCAGAGGATCACTTGAGCCCAGGAGTTTGAGACAAGCCTGGCAACATAAGTGAGACTTGGTCTCTAAAAATAAAATATAAATGCCTTATGAAATTTAATGTGTAATACAAATACTAACTCATGAGTGTGGTTTTTTAAAGATATAATTCACACACCATAAATTCATCTATTTAACGTGTACAATTTAATGGATTTTAGTATATTCACAAATATGTAGAACCATCACCACTATCTAATTCCAGAACACTTTCATCACCACCAAAAGAAACCCCACACCAAATAGTAGACAGTCCCCATCACTGGCTTCCCCTAACCCCTGGCAAGTACTACTTTATTTTCTGTATATTTTCTTCACTATTTTTGGACATATGTGGTCTCTTGTTCTTGTTTCCTTTCACTTAGCATGTTTTCAAGGTGCATCCCTGTTGTAGCATGATTCAGAATTCATTTCTGAACACAGCTGAATATCCTTGTACACATATTCCAAAATATTCCATTTTGTTTTATCCACATCCATCAGATGAGGGACATGAGTTATTTTTACCTTTTGACTATTATGGATGGTGCTCTGAACATTCCCAGGTAAGTGTCTGTATGGACATGTTTTCAGTTCTCTTGGGTATTTACCTAAGAGAAGAGTGGAACGCTGGGTAATATGGTAACTATGTATGAGGCTCCCATTTCTCCACATCGTCACCAACACTTGTTATTGTCTGTCTTTTTTATTATAACCATCTGAGCGAGTGTGAAGTGGTATCTCACTGTGGTTTTGATTTGCGTTTCTCAGAAAGCTAATGATGTTGAGCATCTTTTCATGTGCTCATTGGGTATTTGTATATCTTCTTTGGAGAAATGCCTATTAAGTCTTCCAGTCCAAGAACATGGATATCTTTCCACTTATGCAGGTCTTTTTTTATTTTTTATTTTATTTTGAGATAGGGTCTCACTCTTTTGCCCAGACTAGAGTGCGGTGGCACCATCATAGTACCCGGAAGGCTTGAGTGATCCTCCTGCCTTAGCCTCCCGAGTAGATGGGACTATAGGTGTGTGCCACGATGCTCAGCTAATTTTTTTATTTTCTGTAGATATGAGGTCTCACTATATTGCTCAGGCTGGTCTCAAACTCTTGGCCTCAAGTGATCCTCCCACCGTGGCCCCCCCAAAGTGTTAGGATTACAGGTGTGTCAACTGTACCTGGCCCTATTTTTGCTCAATTTAAATTCAAGTGATAGAACCCCACTGCCCTCACTGCAGGGAATTGATTTTTTTTTTTTTTTTTGAGTTGGGGCCAAACTACGTGGCTTTATTATACACTCGTGGACGAGGTTCTGGGGTCCAAGGGGGGGGATGCCCAGAAGTCGCCAGGGAATTGATTTTTAAAGTAACTGTCTGGTAACACCTTTCACAGCCTCGCTGTAGCTCTAGAAGGTGAACAGAGGGTACCTTGAAAGCTTTGTTGGTATCTGCGGGCATGGCCATGGCTGCTCCAGTCATCTGCTCTTGCATCATTCGTGATTGGTCAGCAGCTGCAGCACAAGACATGCCTACGTGAGTGCCAGGGCTCAGTAAGCACCCTGGTACCCAAGGGCAAGACTAGGCCTCACACAGAGCTTACAGCTGCTTGGTGGTAGGTTAGAGAATCAAATGACAGGTTCACTGACTGTCTCTCTCCCCTGCTGGTTATGTGACCCTGAGAAAGTCACTTTACCTCTCCTGAAAAACGGGGGTAATAATAGCAGAAGATAAATAACTAAAGGAAGCTCTAAATTTTATTTTATTTCAAATTTCAAGAACACTAACAACAGCTACCAGTTACTGATCAACTACTACATGTCAGGTACTTCACTAAGTGCTTTGCATATTCTACCTCTTACACTCCTAGTCCCCCCCGCAGGTTAATTAATAAGGTCCTGATTTACAGATAAGCAAATAGAAGATTAGAGTGGTTAAGCAACTTGTGAGAGGTTCTGGCCATCTAAATAAGTGAGCCAGGATTAGTACTGGAACAGACTCTAGTCAATGAACTAACTGATCAAACCGGTTGGTTGAAGCTTTACATTTACAGGATTATATTGCTGGTGCTGGATCCTTCACATGAATGTATAAGACTTCAGGGAATTGATACCGTCCCAGTGATTGCTAGGGAGAATTTAGATCCCTGCAATTTTTAAGACTCTTCCAGAAACCTCAGAAACTTAAGGAATGAAGCACTGTATTGGACTATGCTAACAAACAGCATAACCTACATGACTTTTCTGGCTCTAGCATGGATGAATCATCTATGGAAGGACTGGCTCATTAAACCTGACATATTTCTTACCATTATCTTGGCCCAAAATCAGAGAGTAAATGCTCCGAAGCCCAAATACATTAAGGAAGTACCAGGATGCAGAACTCACCCTGGCAAAGCAAAAGCAAAATAGTTTAAGTAGTTATTCCAGAAATTAATGTAGTTTACATTTTTATACCAACCAAAGTTGTTCAGTGTATGTAAAGGAATCACCAGGAATAAGCTATATTCTTCCAAAGAAGAAATACAAGTTGTTAAGGCAGTCTTACCAACACAGAAGTATAGTAAATAAAAACTGAAATACGCCTCCTGTCTTGAATCTCATTCTCTAGAGGAAATCACAAGTGTTGGTGTGATCCATACTTACAAGAAAGGATTAAAGGTAGCTTTCGGGAAATACTCGCAATACTGAGGACCATAGCTACTGTTCCAAGTTTTGAACTTTTTATCTCCAAGGCTTCCTTTAAACTTAGTTTCCCACCCTGCCCCTGTAAAATAAATACGCTTGCATACCATAAAAACTAAAAGGGGCGTGAAAAATGACACACAAATGGCAAGAGCCACACTTCACTCTACAACTTGGGTAACAGACCAGCAGGAATTACTATTCTGTCCTGTTTACTCCATTGGGTTGCAGATGAATACATGCACTGTCTGCGTGTGACACTGCTGATCTATCTACCACAGTCATTGTACGCTCAGGTTCCAGGCTCCCCTCTGTCCGTGTAAGCATGTCAGTTACATACCTGTCCAGGTGCTGAGGAAAGATAAATAAGCTTTTCTACAACCCATGAAGTTTCTGGTTAGCCCAAACGAGACTGGAAGGTAAGAGTTTAATAGAATCATGATACTCATATAAAGCACAGATTTTCTCCTCCAGTGGAGCTGTGCACAGCTGAGACTCTCCCAGCACCTGGCCTGTTCTGCCTCTCCCACACGACCGGAAATGGCTCTGCTCAAACTGGCTAGTGAGTCAAAAAGATCGCCAGTGATCCCCATTTTGCCCATTATTCTCCCCCTCTTCTTGTTTGGCTTCTTTCTATGCCAGTCTATGGGAGGCCACAAGCGAAACAGCCGGGAGAGGCCACATGAAGCAGCATCACTGGGTTCCAGATATCGCAGCAGTGTTTTCTAAGAGTTTTTCAGATTTTAGGTTTTATTATTTTACTATAAAAAATAGAGTAGTAAATAAAACATGAGTGCTGGGTTTGGATGGGTTTTGTGGTCAAATCTTACCTCCTCCCACAGACTTCAGACTGCTATCAGGCTAAAATACTGAAAACACACAGCACAGTGAACAGAGCTAATGAAAACTATTTTTTTTTTTTTTTGAGACAGAGTCTCACTTTGTTGCCAGGCTAGAGTGAGTGCCGTGGCGTCAGCCTAGCTCACAGCAACCTCCAACTCCTGGGCTCAAGCGATCCTCCTGCCTCAGCCTCCCGAGTAGCTGGGACTACAGGCATGCGCCACCATGCCCGGCTAATTTTTTCTATGTATATTAGTTGGCCAATTAATTTCTCTTTTTTATTTATAGTAGAGACGAGGTCTTGCTCTTGCTCAGGCTGGTTTCGAACTCCTGACCTTGAGCAATCCGCCTGCCTCGGCCTCCCAGGGTGCTAGGATTACAGGCATGAGCCACCATGCCCCGGCCAAATGAAAACTATTAATGTTATCATTAGTAGTAATGTATTTTGGAAAAATAATACAAATATCCATTCCATAAGCGTCAGGGTGTTGCTAAAAAAGGTTTGCCCTGGCCAGAATTCCTGGCTTAATCTTTTAACTTTTAACACATCCACCCCTGCATTCCTGAGCCCAGGAAGCTACAGAAAAGAGGCTGACACGTTCTTTCCTTTTGCAAGACTCATGTAAAAGTTGCCATAAACCACCCATGACATTTTGAGTGGAATTTCAATGAAAAAACAAACTTTATTTTATTTTATTTTTGAGGCAGAGTCTTGCTTTGTTGCCAGGCTAGAGTAAGTGCCGTGGCGTCAGCCTAGCACACAGCAACCTCAAACTCCTGGGCTAAAGCAATACTACTGCCTCAGCCTCCTAAGAGTCTGGAATAACGGCATAAAGAGAGATTTTATAATCTTTTGTTTATAAGTTGACTTGATTTTCATCAATTTGGTTTCTTAGTAATGTAGTTCTTTGATTGTACGTATTCCATTCAGGGTTTAATGGATCAATGCGAGTTTTTCCAGATATTAGGTCACAGCTTACTTTGAGTCTGCTTTTCCTAAGCAATATGAGCTGTTTATTTGGGAAAGTAGAGCCCAGTGACAATGTGGTTGTTGTTGTTGTTTTCAGAAATTGCTACAATTTCCTTGTGGAAATCATTTTCCAAAGGTTGTGGCAAGTCCACCTCCACAAGGAAAGAATACATAGGTTCATACTTAAATTATTCTAAAATAACAGCTCAGAGTGGTTGTGACTTTTTTTTTTTTCTTTTCTGCAGCCAAAGTCCCATTTCCACTGACCTCCGTTTTAAGCCTATGCTAAGCAAGGAATCGAACTACTTACATTAGATGCATCCTGGTAAGAACTTTTTTTGTTTAATAAAAACAAACCAAAATCTAAGACTAGTGTCTCTTAAAGATCAGGATTTCCAGTTTGCATAATTCATGGAATGGGTGTTTAAAGTTTATTTTTCAGCGGGTGGTGGCTCATGCCTGTAATCTAGCACTCTGGGAGGCCGAGGCGGGCAGATTGCTCGAGGTCAGGAGTTCCAAACAGCCTGAGCAAGAACGAGACCCGTCTCTATTATAAATACAAAGAAATTAATTGGCCAACTAATATATATAGAAAATTAGCCGGGCTGGTGGCGCATGCCTGTAGTCCAGCTA